CCACCACACTCCCATCCAATATTCTATCCAAGGAGCTATCCAAGACATATATGCTAGCTCACATCAACCTGGGACAAAATTAGGATGGTAAAAACAGCCACACATAATATGTCACAGGAAAGTGGAGGAGAGAAGGAGCTCAAAAGCAGCGCTAGAAGGGCTTGCCTGGTCACTAATAAGTCAGAAACCACAGCACCCAATATGTAAATCTTCAAGCATAGTCAACCCTGACCCAGTGGCTGTTGTCTCTTTCTTTCAAGGAAGCAGAAAAATATCTGCAGCTTTAATGCAGAGCACCTGCCTCTTCCAGAGTGTGACCAGAATCTCAGGTCATGTTTATGGCACATGCATTTGCACAGGCTGTAAAAGGACTTTGCTTCTACTAGCATGCTTTTCTTTGGGGATGAGTGGAAACAGTTATGAAGAAGCAAAGAGCCACGTCTTTATCAAGTGACCTCTTTTGGCTTCTTCCTTCTTGAACAATAGGGCCAGCCTCACTCCTTGGGGACCCAGGACAGATAGCCTTTCATGACACTCTATCTGGAAGACACTGATCTGGTTCTCAGCATCACTGAATGTGGACTACAGTTTTCTCCTCTCCTCATGTGGTATCAGATGAGATACAATAGAAACAACAGTGTCACAATCCAAGAAGTCCACCTGAAACAAAGAGTCACCTACCTTGGACTCTACTGTGATCGGTAGGCTGGAAATAGAATATTAAACTACAGACTTCAAGATGGATATCAGATACAAATGTTTCCAAGCCAGGTAGGGAAGACACCATCCCTCAAACCATGCCATTATGTCTCTGACATGAATGAATGATTCCTTGCATGTTACTGATGTGAGAGCAACCCCCCCCAAAAAAAACCAGGTTGGTTAATTGGCAAATAAAAACTAAAAATAGTGTTTCTGGAAATGTTAGACCCAAGGAACATTGCTAAGATAGCTTAACAAAAGCATTCAGTATGATTTATAAATGTGCACTTAGGTTCTCTCTTCCCTCCACAAGCAGTGTACAGTTTATTCTGAGAACCTGATTTCTGGGGAGTCAAATGGGAAGCAGCTTCAGTGATGAGTTTGTTGGGAAGCTTCCCCTAATTGATTTCTATCATTCGTATGATTTGAATCTAAGAACTCCCCAGACTGTCTTATTGACACTTTAAACCAATAACAACACAATAAACCAATCTTATCAATGTCCATCAGGGACACTTTATAGAATCATAGACCCTGGCAGAGCTTCAAATGCTTCTGAGACATCCTTTGCCTTCCAGTAACCCTGTACATACTAAGGATTTCAACCACTTTTCAGCAATCTATTTTATGTTACAACAAACACCACCACCCCCATTCCTATCAGTCATTACTGTGTGTATCCTAAGACTCCTTAACAATAGTCATCTGCTCACACTGTTTATCTCAGATCTCCAAATTACTCACTTAATAAACATATCCCTCATACAGCCAGCTCACCTTTCCCATTCCAATGTTCTAGCCCCAGGTATAAAAGATTATCTCCTACACAGAACCAGAGATCATTTTACCCTTGTTGCTCCCTGCTTAAAGATTTTACAAAAAGGTTTAATTGACATAAAGAAAAATCTCATGAATGTGTATATATCATTTTAAAATTACATTTATACATTGCAGGTGACTATTGTGAATGTTATCAATGCCAAAATTTACCATTTTTCAATGGTACACAATTTTTTTCTGAAGACCCTAAAATTAGTCTAATCTGACCTTTTAAAATCAAATAGTTTACACTATACAAACAATAGAAAGAGGAAGTGTTGATACTTCTCCTCTGCAATCCCAGGAAATAATTGCTAAGCACAGTTAGTGTAGGCTTTAAGAAAGAATCTGTATTTATACACCCACATAATCTGTCTCAATGGATCATCACACTTGATATACAGCATTTTAACTCTTTCCTGTGACTATGCAGAAGCCTACTTCTCTTATTGGCTGCTTTGGGCATCATTGTAAAGCTTTATCAAAATCAGCAAACCCAAACTCATGTTGATAAAGATTTTAGTTATTTTCCCTTTTTTCACTTCTTAAATAGCTCTTTAATGCACACTCTTATATGTACATCTGGGCACTTATTCAACTCATCTCCAACCCTAGGATGGTCTAAGGAGTGTTTCCTCCACCTAGAATTCTCTGCCATGCTTGTTGCTTCCATTACATGACTTTACTCCTGGGGCAGGGATTTAGCTCAGTGGTTCTGTCACCTGCCTCACAAGCGAGAGGTCCCAAGATCGATCCCTGATACCAAAAAAATAAAAAAAGAATGGTGGGACTTTACTCCCAGTATCAGTTCCCAGCTCTGCCATTTACTGTTATAAGCCAGTTACTTTAACTTTCTGCACCCAAGTTTTCTCACTACAAAATAGAGGATAATCTTAATTTCTAATTCATAGGGACTTGGGGATAATTAAATAAGGTGATCCATGTACAATGTCTGGCACTTTGTAAGTGCTCAGTAAATGTCAACCTTTATGATTGATATTGCTTATATCTCTGCAGAGAAAATCACCTTCTGTCCTCTTTAGGATCCATGTTGCCTGTGTTCTTCATCAGCTGTTTTGCACACTTAATTTCCACTTATTAAATTCTCTCTTCTCTCTACCTCATCCTCTCTACCTCCTCTTTTTCACCATCTTCTGGTGGGACCTATCTCTGATTCTGCTACTCAAACCAACTAGCAAAGCTCCCAATGACAGAGTCGAACATACCCACCTCTAATCTTTGCAATTACATTTACAGTTTCTCTTGCAAAATTTACTAATGTAATGGTCACTATCAATCTTTAGCCTATTATAATTTATCACCTCTGGTCTATTTTGATTTTTAATTATTCATTTTTTCATTTATTCTGAAAATATCTGTTGCACATTTTCCAAGTGAAGATACTGGACTGGGCCTCCCAAATAAAAGGCAAATGAAACTGCAAACAGCTTACAGTCCAGTAGGGAAGACAGACTCTGACAGCAGGTCAGAGCCATTAAGTGCTCTAGACCTACTGACCTTGTCTCTGTAGTCTGCAAAATCAAGTCACCTACTTAGGGATAATATAAGAGAAAGTCTCTGTTGAACTGCATCTTGAAAGACAATTAGCTGATTACAATTTAGCCCAGGTGAGCAAAAATGTTTCCAAGCCAAGGAAATGTTTTGTTAAAGCTAGAGGCCAGGGTAGAACTGTAAGGAGTTTACCTTGGTGGGAACAATGTGTGGAAAGGGATGGAAATTGAAGGTTAAGAAGGAAACAAGATGTAATCAATGAAGCTGGACTCACAGCAAAACAAGATCTTCAGTATTTTTGATGAAGTTACTATAGGAAGGCCATGGCACGCCATCATTCCATGGTAGCTCCAAAGACACTGCACCCACAGTTCAGCTCAGTAAGACCTAAGCTCTACCTGTCCTGTGACAATAGACCAATCCTTCAAGTAAAGTCTACTTTTATCTGCTGTTGTTCTTCATTCTTGCTCCACATGTAATCCATAACTCAATTCCAAAATACACTGCAAAGATAGGAGCAATGATTTGATATATACTTTATCTGCCTTTTTTGAAACAATTCATAGCAAAGGAAAAGTTCAAATAGGAAAACATTCTTTACTTATTATTATCTGAGTGAAGCTAATGAACTTCATAATTATAACCAAATAAATTTTATCATTTGTGAAAGTCCGCTACCCTCACCCTAGGAGAAAGAATAAAGAAAAGGTTATTTTTTTAATTTGCCTGGTTGTCTTTATAATTTAAATTCAACCTGTGTTTTAAGTGAATTAATAATAAGTAGTATAGTTGTGGTAGGTTGCTGAAGAAAGAAACCATCATCCATAAAAATATATTATTTTATAGTATTTTAGATCTCACCTAAGAAAACAAACATTCACTGTCAGAGAAGCCTGTAGCCTTCCACACCTGCTTGAAAAAGGGGTTAAGTTTTAGCAGCTGAGCCAAGGGTCTGTTCCTCTTCAGTTAGAGGAGATTTTGTTCAGTGAGACAGTAGCGAGCCATCACTGTGGTGGACGTTCGGCAGAGGGACCAAGCTGGAAATCAAACGTAAGTAGAATCCAAATTCTTTTTCCTTCATTCTCTGTGTTGCATGGTCTCTGTGTCTATGAAGTGATTTCTTAACTGACTCTGAACCCAGGTTCTGACACTCTCAAGGGCACAGAAAAAAATGAAGTCTGTAAGCAAACTTTGAGAACTGAATGTACATTTTCTATAAAGAGCAAGATTCAGTCGTTTAGTGCAAATAATTTTTTAAGGTGATAGTTTCAAAAATTTACTGGGAGCATAATAGCCGGCTGCAGGCACAGCCTTGCTCAATGGTAGGAAGGGAAACTCAGTTTTTGTGTTAGGAGGGAAGTAAGGGGAACTACTGTGTGTATACTTTCGGCCTAGGGACCAAGGTGGAAATCAAACGTAAGTATCTTTTTCAACTGATTCTTTGCTGTTTCTGTCTGATTGATTTGCTTTTCGTTGCCTTTTTCTGTTTCTTAGTTCGATGTCAGGGTTGTTACAAATTTCATTCCCAGATTAGGTACTGAGGAGGGACAATTAGTCCGCAGGAGGCTGGCTGGGGCTAATTCTTGTGATTTCTAAAGCAAAATAGCTTAGTTGGAGAAAGGGGCTTGCTGCCTTCTAGGGGGGTTTTTGTAAAGGGAGAGCTTAAAAGTAATCACTGTGATTCACTTTCGGCTCAGGGACCAGATTGGAAATCAAACGTAAGTACATTTTTTGCTCAATTATTCATGAAGTTTTAATCCTGTTGTAACATCTGTGTGAGTTAGTGACTATTTTGGTTAAATGAACCATTCCTGGTGATCCAACAATAAGTAGAGGAATACCAGAAAGTAGCCAACTTAAAATCTGAACAAATAGATTGTTAGGTTTGTGAGGAGAATAAGATGAGTAGGGAGAATGGGAAAGAAATGGCTCTGTTTTTCTCTGAATTGGCTGGCTTGGTCTGACCAGCCTCGAAGGAAGGTTTTTGTTGAGAGGTGAATGTTAGAGTCATCACTGTGACTCACATTCGGTGGCGGGACCAGGCTGGAAATCAAACGTAAGTGCATTTTTCTAATCCTTTTTCTTATAGAGTTGTAAAATTTGGGGGTTTTTATGTTTGGGGTACAAGTTGAAGTCAATTCTGGAGAGAATGGATTTCTTCCAAAAATCAGATGAGGAAAGGGCTGAAAAATCTGTTCTATCAAGGAAGAGCAGAGTCAGTCAGTTGAAGGGGCAGCTAAATTGCCAGATTTTCTCTGTTTATCAATCTAGTGAGATTAGCAACAAAAAAAGATTTGTTGAGGGCAAAGTCAGTAAGTTAATATTGTGGCTCATCTTCAGCAGTGGAAGAAGGCTGACAATTAAGCGTAAGTAATTTTTCTGTATTGCATTCTGAAATTTAGGTCTAAATTGCCAGTCATATTAACTTTTAGAAGCTTAAGTAGGAGTTTTATGGAGATGAGTAAATGAAAGCACTTCAGGTTTGTTATCAGTGCCAAAAGCCAAACACAGCTCCAAAAATGAATTTGGAGACAAAAAGATTAAATTGGGCTAAACTGAATGACTAAAAGGAAAATATCTATATAGTAAAGATGAAAGGGGGCTCTTGGAGCCACAAAGAACAAAAGCAAATTCATTTTTACTGAGCTTTATCAAATAATGTGTTTTGTTTATTATAAATGATATAGAAAAGTTAAGAGATGTATTTCTTAGTCTATTTTCTCTTTTGATATTAAAAGACAATTTTAAAAAGTAATGGCATGCTATAAAAAAATCAGTAAAAAGTTAGAAAAGTATAGCTGTTTACAGTATGAAAGAAGGCTTATTAAGAATCATCAGCAGTGTCATTTTTAGAGTCTAAAATGAGTGATAAATGGTCAAAATGAGAGATTCTATAAGAATAAGATCTTGACAGATAACTCCTTTTTAAAAATCTAATTTCTGCATTAAGGTAAAGTTGAAATGATCTCTTATAATGGTAGAAAAGCTTAGTTTCAAAGAAACTTGTTTTAAATAAAAGAAAGTAAATAATTACATTTTTAGAATGCCTGTGGGTTTGTAGGAAAAAAATGTTAAAGAATCTGTTCTTTTATTTCCCCTAGTTATTACTTATCTGTATTTTTATACCGCCAAGGAGGCTGTAGCACCACTAGTGTGGTCCATAGACCTCATGGCGGTCTCTGTCAAGACTCAGTGGCCCCACTGGCTGTGCCACCGTGGCCCTGTGACAGTTTGCCTGGCCACTAAAGGCCATAGCAAACCCGCCTTAGCCCGCGTAACTGTGCATCAGCCAACTTTCCTAATGCACAGTGGTATGAACAGTGACACTAACAGAAAGGAGATAGACATGTGGCGGCCACTATACTAACGGGAAAAAATAGGAGGAAACTTATTTATTAAAGGTTTCAGAAATAAAATTCATATTTGTTATTATACTCCTTAATGAAATTTTTCAATAAGAGACTATAAATAACAGAAAATTATTTTTAGTGACATAACATCATTTCATCTAATTCACCTAAATAATAAAAGCTTGATATAAAAGAAAGAAATGTATTGTCTATAACTCTTTAAGATAAAATTCACACTAGCAAAAATTAAATTTAATGCCAGCAATGTAGCCACTCAGGTCTTGCTCAGTTCACTTGCTGAGTTCACATCAAATAGTATTATGACATAGTAACTGACAAAAAATGGCAGCATGTTTTTAATTTTCAAAAATTTAACTGTTTGGATAAGATTATATTTCATTCTACAGAATATTTAATCATATGTAAATGTGATTAATAAAAACAATATCAGGGCCAGAGATTTAGCTCAGTGGTTCCGCCACCTGACTCGCAGGCACAAGGTCCCAAGTTCGATCCCCGGTACCAAAAAAAAAAAATTAACATATTTTCCAATAGTCTAATTCTGTGAGAAAAAAATAGTAATTTTGCTATTTAATCTCATAATATCTAAAATAGTTTAATAATTTGTTTCTGTTGTAGTTGTTGCTTGCACCCTCTTGGTTTCAAAACCGATACTTAAGAAGGACTATTTTAGAAGCCTTTTAGAATTCTTTTGAAACCATTTTTAGAACTTTTTAAATTATTTTAAAACTATTTCAGGGTCTTTTAAAAATTCTTTTAAAGAGTCTTAAACTCTATTAAAATGTAATGAGATATCTTGAAATAATTTCCATATTAAATACATAATGGTTAAGTATTGTAGAGCCAGATGGAAAATTTCAAGTTATCAAGAATTCAACCACATAGGAGGAACTTGATAGAATGTTTTCCTCTGCTTTTTTTCCAGAGATCTCATAATTTCGGTGCAAAGCTTACTTTATGCAATTATTTAGGAAAAATTAGTGACAAAGGTTTAAAGAAAAGAAAAAGATCAAAGATAAAAATTCAGTATCTTAGGTTAAACTTCTAAGTTAACCTTGAGGTTGGCTTTATTTTTTAAAACCTGCTCAGGTATCTGTTGACTTTTTCCAACAAAGAATTCTTGATTTTGTATTTTACTTATTGTTTTCCCACCCATGGGCTTGCTTCTCCACAGAGGCGGCTTTCTAGGAGGCCATCTGACAGCTGCTCAAGGTCAAAAGCGAAGTTAGCCAGTTCCTCCCAGACAGGTGGCCAACGTTACAGTTGACCCTCCTGGTCTGGCTAAAAATTGCCCCCTGTGGTTACTCAGGCTGGGGCAGGGGCTCACTTTCAAGCCCTTATGAGCAGCAGGAGAGTTGCTGGCCTGATCCCAGAGAGTAAGGGACTGACACCCACCCAGGCACAGATGCAGAGATTGGGGCCATCCCTGACACCACAGCACCGTCATGGGGGAGAAACAGGAGGGAGAGCCCACCTTCTGCTGCCTTATCTTCTCCTGTATAGAGGAATCCAGACCTGTATTGACTTCTAAACCCAAGGGAGCCTGTTTTCTTTGCCTGAAGCACTAAGTCATTGCAGGTGGCAGGGAACACAATTGAACCAAAGAAAAGTGAGGTCAGAAAAAGAGGCCAAAGAGGCCTCAGAACAGCTACAAAATGTTCAAGCACAATTTAGAACTTTCTTAAGGGGAGAGGGAACTGGGAAAGAACCCCATGTGCGTCCCAGCCTTGCTGTACTACTGTGCATGATAAGTGTGCTGTTCTGTGTGTCTGTCTCTAACCTCACTATCCACGATGTACCCAAGAGGAACCTGCTCGGTGACTTAAACCCAACCTCTGTGCTTCCTTCCTCAGGGAGTGTGGCTCAGCCAACTGTTTCCATCTTCCCACCATCGACTGAAGAGTTGAATTCTGGAAGTGCCTCAGTTGTGTGCTTCGCTAATAACTTCTATCCAAAAGATATCAACCTTAAGTGGAAGGTGGATGGCAGTGACCGCACAGGTGACATCAAGAGTATCACGGAGCAGGACAGCAAGGACAGCACCTACAGCCTCAGCAGCACCCTGCCGCTGACCGCTGCAGAGTACAAAAGCCATGACAGCTATATCTGCGAGGTCTCCCACGAGGGCCTGACCTCACCCATTGTCCAGCGCTTCAACAGGAATGAGTGTTAAAGCCAGGGGCCCAACAGGCAACACGCCTGGCCCTTGGGCCCACCCAGCCTCGAGCTTCCTCCTCAGACCCCTGGCCCTCTCCCAGGGGGACCTACCCTGTCCCGGTCCTCCAGCCCCTCTCTCTACCTCCCTGCCTCCCCCTCCTTGGCTTTAATCATGCTGATACTTGGGGGAAACAATGAATAAAGTGAATCTTTGCACCTGAGAACCCTTGCCTGATTTCTTTTTTAAGGTTATACATTGTTTTTCCTATTACCCCATTTCTTGTCTGAGGGATTAGATATTTAGTTGTTCTAAAATGCACCACCATTTATAAAAATCAACCTGCATTCTACCCTATCCTACTGCCCTCTACAAGACACCCCTCCGTGAGACCACCTGACACCTGTTGATACATCCCTCCCCTGGGCCGTAGTGGGAAAGGCTTCTTTCCATGGTTTCCCTTCCCTGGGATATTTCATAGTCCTTAACAGTGACAGTCATGTGTTCTTTGATCCAATTCAGCCTACCCTGAGAACTTCACATAGCAAAATTTTCAAAAGAAGAAATCAGCTAGGAGAGTCATCCATTGTAACATGATATGCAAAAATAAAACAATGAAAAAATGTAAATGAATGTGCACTAGGGAAATGTCTAAGTCCATCACAGTACTGGACCTAATGGAATATTGTGCCTTCATTATATTTTAAAATGTGTATTGAGGGATGACTCCTAGCTTCCAATGATGATACTGAGCATTTTTTACAATCTACTTTCATACTGACTAATCTGTAAGGTTAAATATATTCATTAAAATGTTGGGGGAAAGGAGGGGTATTGGGGGGATAGGATAAAATAAAATTTATTTTAAAAATAAATAAATAAAATAAAATGTTGGGCAGTTTCCATAAAGCTAAAAGATAAACATTTTCTATACCCAGAAATCCCATTCCTGAATAACTAAGTGTCCCTGTCCACCAAAAAAAAAAGTATAAAATAATGTTCAAGAATGCTCACTTACAAAGCCAAAACCTGGAAATATCAAAATGTCCACTAATAATAGAAGAGGTTATTAAATTGTGGTATGTTTACAATTGAGCTACTTTTCAGTAAGGAGAATTACAAACTACAACCCTCTCTAATAACCGAAGTAACTCTCATAAACATAAGCCAAAAAAATATACAAAAGAGACATTCTTATATTTTCATCCATAGAAAGTTAAGAAGTAGGTAAAAATAAAATTAGAAATTGGAAAGGGGATTAGGTATGGCTGGGGACAAGGTGACATAGTCCTGGGAGGAGACCAGAAAGGCCATCTGGTGTTTGGATAATACTCTGCTCTTCAAAGTGGGGCCTCTCACTTCATGAAAATATATTCAGTTGTACAATTAGCGTCCGTGAACTTTTCTGTACATGTCTACCTATGTCTTTTACTACAAAATAATTTCATATAAAAATGTCTTATATAGGTAAGAAAGGCTGGGAGGAATGAGTCGTGATGGGTCAAGCCCAGATAACTGATAAACGAGGGCCCAGGATCAAACCTGCACCTGCCCAGCTCTGCTTTCTTAAGCCTTACAAATCCTGCCTTTCAGAGCTCCAGGTGCTATGCAGAATGGGGTCAGAAACATGCTACCTCCTCCTCCTCCATCCACCTAGCTGGCCACACATATATAAAAATGAATGGAACAGACCTTCAGCAAAGGGACAAAGGACAGAAGGAGCCTTGTCCAAGTACTGGGAACCCATGTATGAAAGGTAACGTTTGGGAAGTGGGGAGAGACCCGTATAACACCAAGTCTCCTCCTGTCTTCTATGTGGGACCCTGGGTTTGCCTCATCTACTTATCTACCGAACTCACATTTACTAAGCACCTTTCTTAACTTATACTCTGAAGGAAGTGCAGAAACAACTTCCCTTGTTAACTTATAATCCAGTTTTTCTATTCTTATTTTCTATGCTTTGTCTGGAGAATTCAGGGGGATAGTCACTGGCAAACTGGATAGGAAGGCATGTAGCCTTTCTGCCTCTTGAGAATCTTCATTATTATCAAATCTTGAGAATTTTGGAAGTCTGAGCTGAGTTCAGAAACTCTCAATATGGCATGAATTTGTTCACCCATCTTTGGGAGCCAAACAGAATGGCAAGAGCACCTCTAATCTGGTTATGAATCCAAAGCAAGCCTCTTCTGAGAAGCAAGACTCTGAAGCCAGATCCAATAAGGCCCAAGCAAGGGAAGGCAGGTGGTATGGGTTGAACTGTGTTCCTCAAAAGGGTATGTTCAACTCCTAACTCCAGGTTCTCCAAAAATGTGACCTTGTGTAGAAAATGGGTCTTTGTGGATGTAATCAAGTCAAAGTGAGATCACACTGAAATGCTGATGAGGATGTGGTGAACCTGGATTGTTCACATATTTCTGGTGGGAATGTGAAATGATATTACAACTCTTGAGAATAAGTTGTCTATTTCTAGAGAAATTGAACAAAATATATCTACCATATCTACCATAAAATATATCTATCCCCCCAGCAACTGTACTTCTGGCCATGCACCCCCAACAAATAAAAGCTTATGTCCACACAAAAATTTATACATGATTGTTTTAGCAGCTCTATTTTAATAGCCAAAAAGAAGAAAAAACAAACATGCCCCTAATGGGTGGCTGGTCAAACAAACTGTGATACGTGCATAACATGGAATCTATGAAGCAATATTAAAGCATGAAAGAAGGATTCATGCAACCTTTTGGATAATTCTGAAGGGGACTGTACTCAGTAAAAAAATATAATCTCAAAAGGCCACACACCCTATGACTGCTTTTATGTAACATTTTGAAATGACAAAATTATAAAGAGGGAGGACAGATTACTGGCTTCCAGGAGCAGGGATGTTGGGGAAAGGAAAATGGATACGACTATAAATGGGCTCAGGGAGATCTTTGAAGTCATGGAATAATTCTGTATCTTAATGCATACATTTAGCCATGTGATAAAAATGACATAGACTGTATACACACATTGCACCAACATTAGAGTCTTGGTTTTTATGTTGTACTATAATCATGCAAGAAATAACAATTAGGAGAAACTGGGTGGAGGCCACACCAGACCTCTCTGTTCTATGTTTTGCCTTTGCAACTTTCTGTGCCTCTGAGATTATATTTCAAAATAAAAAGTTAAAAAAGAAGATGAGGGCGTACTCTAATAGCGTGAATCCTAAATCCTATGTCTGGTGTCTAAAGAAGGAGACTGGAGATGCAGAGGCACAGAAGGAGAATTCCATGTGACCTTGGAAGTGATGTTGGAGTGACACAGATACCAGCCAAGGAATGCCAAGGATTTCTTGGACCCACCAGAAGCTGGGGGAAAGGTATGCCATGGTTTATCTCTGAGAGCCTCCAGAGAAGAAACCCACTCTGTCGGTACTTTGATTTCAACCCTGCCATCACCTTCTCTCCAGAGCTATGAGAGAAAAGATTTCTCTTGTTTTAACCCTGGTTTGCAGTATTATTTTAGGGCAGACAATTAATACAATGAAGACACCAGGAAAGAGACTACTTTCTTCCACACTGATGAGCTGGGCCCATAGGTGTCATCTCCTCAGAGACACTGGGCTGCTCCAAAGCTCTGAGAGATTTTCAAATCCAGAAAGTTCAGGTCAATGTGAATTAAACACCAAATGGACAAGAGATGCAGGCTGCTTCTCATGAGAAGTGGCGCACTCTTTGATTCTGAACTATGGAATCAGAAAACCCTCATCTGCCATGTAGAGTGTATAGGGTGCCATGAAGGGTGGCATGACCCTGAGCAAGTTTCTGAACCTGTGTAGGCCTCGCTTTAAGTTTTTAAAAAATCAAATTAAAAAGAACAAATGCAAAGAGCTCGGTACATGGGTACTTATTCAAAGTTCAATGAGAGGTGGATATTGAATGAATACACTGTACTTCCATGGATCTTCAGAGTGGGCTAACTTTAGTTTCAAGCCCCATGAGTAGATCTAAGGCAGGAGTGAGGAAAGAGATGAAATAGAGAAAGAACAGGAAAAGAGAAGAAATTAAAGAGGAAGGAATAAAGAAGAGGGAGGAGAGACCAAAAAAATTGAGAAAAAATATCTATCAAGGAAAAGTAAGTGAGTCATGCTATGACATGTTTCTACCTATGGCAGGGTGGATGTCCTCTCTCCAGGTCAGAGATAGCCCCTCAGCACGCTCTGCAACTTAAAGAGTGTGAGACAGCAATCATTCCAGGAGAGAAAAGGCAGGCCCATGCCCATGGCACAGAGCTGGACATCACCACCTATTAGATGGTAAAGATATCTGGATACTTTAATAGCAGCCTATAGATTACATAGAGACCACAACACAGTAGGAAAACTTAAAGCTTCCTAAGAGTGGGCAACAGGGTTAGAAAAACAATTAATGTAAAGAAGATGCTGCAGGCGCAAGGACCCGAGTTCAATCCCCGGTACCAAAAAAAAAAAAAAAAAGATGTGGGGTTTTTTTAATAAAATGGAGTACTACTCAGCCATAAAGAATGAAAAACTAGAGATATTTATAGCTAAATGGATGCATATTGAGGCCATACTATTAAGTGAAATAAATAGGACACACAAGTGTAAATACCAAATAGTTACTCTAGTGTGAGAAACTGAGAGTGTAAATAAGGATTAAAATGATTAAAACAAATAATTGAAAATTTGAAATAGGAAGCAAAGGTCCAAAGGGGTAGGGGAAGTGGGAGGGGAAGGGGAAAGGAAAGAAGGGAAAGGAAAAATTATGAGAAAAGGAAAAAATGGAAACAAAGTCTTTGTAAATAGGGAAGGGTGGAGGGGGTGAAGGGAGGACAGGGAATGGGGAAAAAATAAGAACCAAGATACATCATTTACAGGTACAAGTACCCAATGATAAATGTAAACGTATTGTATATCTAAAATGTACCAATAAAAGAATTTAAGGAAAAAAATAATTTAAAAAAAGAAAACCAATTAATGTTTAGTCACAAGATTGAGGCAGTCCAACCACTAACCCATCAGCTCCTTCTGCCACTCCCATCACCCCACTTAACTCCGGGCACATGATTTCCCCTCTACTGTCAGTAAACCAAAGAGCTCCATTTGCAACCCTCAAGTCCTTTTGTAGCTCTAATACCTAGACTTCTGTGGCTTCAAGTGAGCTGTAGCTTTCCACTTATTCTCCAACAAGTCCTTGAGCAAGTCAATATGTTGAA